GTTTATCCAGTCTCGTATTCTCCCATGGTCTTAACCTCTTCACTAGCCATTCCCTGTAAATTTTTAATTTTAATAATTAATTCACCATTATCTCTCACATGTTCCTTTTGTACATTTTCTCACCCTCTTCACCTTTGCTAAATGGACACTTAACTACATTTCTTCTCACTACTCAATAACAATATTAACCTTACCAAATTTATAACGCTTTCTTCCTTTGTGCCATTGGGTGTTACGTAATTTACAACTTTTATTTTTTACTTCTAAAGCCACTTCTGAGTAATTATATCAATTACGTTACCCTCCCCCCTCCTATTACTCAATAATGGACTACTATACATTTCTGGTGAATATAAATACGACTGTACAGCGTCTGAAGATGATTTCCTCGATAGAGAAAATTTTCTTTGCTGAATTTGTCTTTTATTTTCTTTATGACTCAATGGGTATTTTTTGGGTGATTTAAAACGCCTTCACTAAAGTGGGCTATTTTTCTGGTTTTCAGAAACCCAACCAACACCTTTCACCAACACCGTCCAGATACCGATCATTTTTACACAATCAAAGTAAATCAATCCCATTGTTACTTTATAAAGCAATATACTCTAAAGTGAGTGTCGTTCAGTTAGGATTTCAGGTTGTTGCTACTGTAGACACACACACACCTTTATAGGCTAATTTTGTGTGCATAACAAGGTTTTTTAAGAGTCAGTTTGTAGGGATTTGATTTGTTACAAGTTGATTCACGGATTGATGTCAGCTGTCCAATACTCCATGGCAGTTTTCAATGGTTCCGTCAACAAACTTGAAACACCAACCAAATCTCTACAAACTAGTTCTCGAAAATTAATCTGATGCTCACTGGTGACTGGCTATTAGGATGAAGCTTCCTCGAGTTCTGTTGACACTCCATGACCGATGGAATTGGCCGGTGGCCGCACTAAGATCTGTAGAAGTTGAAATTCATGGACTGACCATCTGATCAGGACTCAGTAGCTGAACGGTCTACGGGTTCACTTCATAACTTGGGTTCGAACCCTGGTGGGTGGGTACTGTGAAGAGTCCTAAACTAGGACGAAACAACTATCCAGTACTCCTTGGTTCTGAATGGTTCTCCAACTGACATCAATCTAAGATGAGACTTGAGTTAGTGTGTTTTTACAACTATTATCCAGTCAATTAGAGTAATCGGAAACAAAAATGCTATTGTGTTGATTTTCGTCTTGACGATTCGATTTCACTGAACACTGTAGGAGCGAAATTCGAAACTGCCCTTGTTTAGTGTTTGAAAAAAATAGTTGACTGTGATTACGGCGTCTTTTAAGTGCACATTCTTTAACATCACTTTTAATTTCAACAAAATTAACAACAAATCGTTAAACTATATATATATATATATATATATATATATATATACATTCATCTAGCGAGTTACATTTCTTTTGTTTAGTTTGTGACATAGTTGTCGATATCCAGTCTGGAAATAAACCAATCAGAATTCGGCCCAGGTCAAATAACGCCCAATATTTCATTGACCATAATTACAGACTAATTGGTATATCCTTAGGAATATTTTGAATCATACTTTATTGCGTAAAATATGCTTCGCAGCTCAAGTCCTGTGTTCTCGCTGGAGGAAAACGGGTGGATATCGTATAATGTTATTGGCGTAGTCCAAAGGCATTCGAGATCACCGCGTCTCAGTCCAGCACCAACGTCGGTATCCTATTCCATTTGTTCATAATATTTTGACACAAAGTGTATGTATGAGAAGAAATAGTATATAACTAGGATCGCATCGTTGGTTCAATGGTATAGTGCCTGCAAACCACACATGTAGTCAGGGATCAATTCCCGGCCGACACACTGACAAACCTCGCGTGGTTTACTAGCCAACAGGAAAAGGTTGAGAGTGAAACTAGCAATCCCGTTCCCCGTCCCGCGAAAACAACAAACACCACTATAACTGGAACTTTAAAAGCTCAGGACGGAAGGAATGAACAAATATACTATAGACTCAATTTTCAGAAAATTCGTGAATTTATCAATGAATGTGAGGGTGGTGAATGCACAAGTCAAATTAGAAGGTTAAATTCGCTCAAATTATCTTAAAACAGAAACTCGACAGCTAAAGAGAAGTGGCGAAATACAAAAACAGATACAAGTTATTCCGCTTTTATGTTCGCTCTAGCTTAAATTTATAAGTAGATAAACAGGAAATGTATTAGTAGATTCACGGTTCATAGATGCACATGAAAATAAAGTAGTATTGTAACGACAGAAGACAAGGGCCAGGCAACAGATCGTTTATTAAGGAAACCAACACATATTTATAGGGATTGTTAGCAGAAAAACACAGTCTTCTGATTGGTCATTTCTCATTGAAAATTAATCTTTCATCTCTTTGTGGCTGTTTCTTGAATGTCAGATCATCTATATGCTACTTGTATCTGCCTACGCAAAGTCTGCTGCGGTTGGTTGTTGAATCAGTCTTTGTTCATATTATTCTCATGACCAACATTGAGGACGTAAACATTGATGTAAATTACTGTCTACCAATTTGGCCAACAGCCAGCTCTCAACACAGTATAGGGCTATAATATATCAGTAAAGTGGCTCAATGTATCAACATTTTTAACGAACTATGCAAACTGATGGATAGCAGCTTTTTAGGCTTTTCTGAATCCCTATATTGACTGACTGGTTTCAACGTAGAACTTTATACAGATGTACAGCAGTTCCAGTTGCCACACTCCCTCTGTGTACTACACAAAGCCAGAGAAGAGAGTAAAAAAGAGATTTAAAACAGAGATAAACAGGAATATGAGGCAAAAAGAATGGTAATATGGAAGAACAATAGAATTTTATTGGATATGACAAATCACAAGGAGTGGTTGCATCTGCGCCAGTCATTGAGAACTATTTTGAGCCATATCACCAATTTTCTCCAGCCATCCCGAAGAACCCAACCAGACAACAGTCAGTCTACACCTCCCTACGTGGCTGGATTAAACTAACACCTTTGTGGATTTCATCGACTGATGAGGCCATATTTTCGTTTGACCACCACCACCACCGCTATCTCTTTTCCAACCTGATGATCCTGTGTTGCCTAACATCGCCCGTCGAGGAAGGCGATGGCTAGGCATGCATGCGTAGCACATGTCGTAACCAACTCAATCGGTGTAGCTTCACAACCCCATCGATTGATTTCCCCTCCTTACCCAATGGCACTCGACTGATGTCTAATCTCAATATTGCTCACCCTATTATACCGCTTAACACAGGAGATGGAACGCAGGCACCGGTGATCAAAGACAACTAACCTTTTCATGGTCCACTTTTGATGGCCATCTCTAGCACATAGTCAGAAAGGAGGACAGAGGGGATTGCGGAATCCCTATATTCATTCATTACAATTGTAGACATGGAAATCAATCTCAACCTACTGCTATCCAATGGCTGCTGCCCTGTTCATCCTTCATGTCTGTGAGACATGGTCGTTAAAGGTGGAAGATATGGAAAGGCTAGCTGTTTGAGTTATCTTATCCATGTTAGATGCTTTGATATAGTGAGTAATATTGAAGTTAGGAGTAGGGTGTTAAGTAAGGAGGATAAGTTAATCGATAAGGCTGTGAAGCTACATCGATTGAAATGACTATGACATGTGTTACCCTTATTTAGCCTACACCTTCCTCGACACGCAATGTTAGCTGACATAGGATCAAGTTGGAGAAGAGCTAGTGGTGGTCAAACCAAAGCCTGGAATCAGTCTACGAAATGTTTGAGAGTTAGTATGAGCCATGTAAGGAGGTACAGACTGTCTGGTTTGGGTCCTCGTGATGCTATAGCTGAAGACTATTGGTGATATGGCTCGAAATCGTTCTCAATGGCCTCAGATGCATGCACTCTTTTGATCCATTTAACTCTCCTGTTTTTTCCCATATTACTTCTTTCTCCTTCACATTTCTTATTATTATCTGGAAAACTAAATATTTTTATTTTCTAGGTTGATATTTGGGCCAAATGTACTAAGCAAGATAAAAATGGAGTGTCAAATTTTAAATGATGGAGGAATGGAAATGAAAGTGGCTAAGGTTATATAATATGATATTAAACTTTGATCGGAATACAATCACTTCAATACATGTGAATAGCCCAGTAAAAAATTGTCTGGCAGTTAGAGCAAAAACAAAGGCATCCTAGATAGCCTACGCTCATTTTGAACAGAAACACACAACCCATTTCAATTACAGGCGATATGTACACACATCAATCTGGGGTTTTACAAAACCTGTTTAACAAAACCTATTGTCAACTCTATGAAAACAAATAAGATTTGTTTCAATGCGAACAAAAGCACTTTCACTAAGAACCTAATGAGAAATGATACATCTAAAGACAAGGGATAATATAACCAGACTTACTTTGATTCCCGTTCTAGTTTTTGGTATGCGATGTATAATAATTTCAGAAAAAGCAAATGGACGAATTAGATCTAACTGAGAGTGTTCCAGATCCTCTAAATTTTTCAAAGCATGATAATACCTCCCGTCAGCAATACTTTGTTCAATACGAGAATACTGTTCCAATATGGGAAGGCTGATTTGAATCGCTTCAATACACTGATTGATATGATCCAAAGTTTGTTTACAAGCAGCTAATTTGTTACACGATTCACTGAACTAAAAATGTATCATACAAAATAATAGGTTTATCCAGCCAATAAAAACAAACATTTATAAATAATAAGAATGTAGTTATAACAGGATACAAAGAACTGCTTCTAAGTGTACACCTCCTTGAATCGACAGCCAGACATCACATCTCTGCCACAGATAACGTAAGTTAGCCAATGCCTCATGAGCTTTTTGTATTTGTGCTGAGATTTTGTTAGTAATTAGTTCATTACGGTCGATGCGACTTCCCAGATAAGTTAAGTGGTCAGTGTCCTCAACCACTTCACTCCCTATTTTAAAGATAGGAGTCGATGAAGTTCAGCCTTGCAGCATCATCTTGCATTTGACAGAAGCGAATCGTACGCCAAACATGCTAAGATTTTTTGCTTAAAGTGTTCAGAAGATTCTGTATTTTGTCAGCGTTGTCACCAAGAAAAGCCATATAATCTATATACTCTAAGTTCATCCGAATATCCCCTAGTAATGATTCCATCCGTAAGTTGCTACGGTCACATCCATTATCACGTTTATGATGAAATTAAACGAAAATGGAGACATTGGGCTTTCTGGACGCACACCATAGATTGTCTCTTTACTTCGGATAACAACCCTCCATAAGTTATCGTACAACTGTGTGAATTTAAGTAAAGTGCCTTGATTGATTCCATATACTCTCTCGGTGCTCCCTTCATGGTCAGGCATTGTCAAAGTACCACTGGATCGACGATGTCAAATGCCACAATCAGGTCAAGAAATATTGCGAAAACAGAATGATACTACTGTGTAGACTATATAGCCAGCTGGATGCTGTTGTGCAGAAGATGCATTCAACAGGCAAAGTAATAATTTAGGAATATTTAACATGTATGAATGTGGACAGATCCGTCTTGATATCCCATCTAACTGAAGGGAAAGTGATGACGGACATCAGTCATTTCACTCGCTCACGAAGTCATATCAACCCTAGTAAGTTTCTAAATGATGAAACTCTAGAGAGACCATAAATTTGTCTGACTGTGTGTATCAACTACGGCTCAGATGGGATACAGGATTACCAACTAATAGTCGTTTATTGGACAGCAGTGAGTTTATCTCTGCCCTATGACTGTAAAACACCATTATTACAGGTAGCTTATCTACGGATACTTGTCACATTTAACGACTGCTACCTTTGTAGTATCCCTACAGTTTTAAGAAGATATATAAGGTGAGCCAATGAATTTACCAGTTAGTTATCGATCGAGATAGTGAAACATATAACATACGCTTACTTAGCATGCGATTTGAACGGCAGCAGAGTTAGTTTTGACTATCTTTACCTGCCTATAAGCTAGAGAGTGACTCGGTATGAGTAATAAACATTCGAGCTAACCCTACTGATGAAGATCCACAACCTAATTAATTAACTTACCTTCCTTACTTAAAACTATAAATAATCTATTAAAAGCAATTGAACAGAAAAACCTATGCTTAAAAACCTGTAATCCATTCTTAACTTGTACGTGTATTGGACATGTCTAATAGCGGCACAGTGCAAACTACTGGGAGGATACACCTTGTGATGGCCGACAATGACTATGATCAATTTCAAGCAAGCTTTCTGTATCTGTGCTGAAATTTCATCAGTAAGAGAGGACCCAACTCCTCAAATAGATGAAGTCATCAACACGATCAAAAAACCCAATTTGCACTGGTGAGTTGATAGCCTATTAAGGCTTTCTCGTGAATCAAAATGTTTATCGAAATTTCGCCACTATTGGCACAAGAGATACAAGTGTTTCCTTAGCGACAGTCCTACCTGTCTCACTATAAGGTTGTCAAAAACTATCACTAAATTTTGAAGACAAGTGTATGTCTAACTGACAACGAAACAAAAAGTTATCAATATAGGATCAGATATTAAGATGTCTAATTTATTATGCAGCGCATACATAAAATAAAAGATGAGAGGAATTAAATGTGGGACGATTTTTGAAATGCGTAGATAACAGAGTGACGCGGACAGCCATATTGCGTCTTACGTTCTTTCTACAAAAATATCATTAGTACCTTCATTTACACAGATACTGGACAACCAAGTCTTGGTGACAAAAAATAACTTAGGAATGAATGCAAAAGTCATAGTAGACCGACCTTATTCTAGGTGTAGTATATCACAAACGACCAACTTTTCTCTTAAAAATAAGCAGTCACGGCGCGAATTTTTTACTGTTCGAGTTAATCATTTTAATCTCAAGTATTATATGCATTTTATATAACTGGCATACTGCACACATTATATGCATGATTACCCATATTTGTAATATTCGGCCTTTAGCTTTAGACCTAAGACCAATTAGAAGTACCAAAAATATACAAAGACTTTTACGTAAAATTCTAACCTTATTAACCATGACTTCTAATTCTACATTCAGCGTTTGTAAATCCCTTTCGAGGTTTTCTGCATTCTGCTGAATACCAAGCAGCTCTCTTGTTGAATCAACGAAACTTTGATAGTGGTAGCTGCAGGTTTTCTCTATTTCTGCATTGTGTTCAGATGCCCGCAAGTCAAGTGCTGCTATAAAACTTGCAATTAGTTCACCAGTTGGACCTCCAACATGAGCTTTGTAGGCAGCTACCTCATTTTCTCGCAACTTTCGAATGACATTTGCGAGTGACCCACTATTACCTGATTCTATTTCATCAAGTAATAGGTTAAAATTCAAGCTATTGGCATTCGATACAGACATATCGACATTTTGTCTTAAGGTAGGTTTAAAAAACGTGTTAACAACACAAGGTCATATTAGAGATGACAAATAGGTAACTTAAAATATTGTGTACAATCGACACCATATTCTGTCGCATATCATTTATTTGATTCATTCATGTATCAGTTGATCTTATAAATAACTCCTGTGCTCTTCTGTGCTGAAGGGCACTCACTCCCTGTTAGAGGCACATCAGGAAAGTGTATTGTTTTGTCGATGACGCTAGTCATGTGACCTGTGTCTGAGCAGTAGTCGATCTTCTCCTGTGGTGGAGGACCCTTACAGTCCAGGAGCTCCAAAGCCCCACTGAGAGTGTCAATGGCTTCCGTTGTACGAAACTTAGTCGTATTGCAGCAGTCATTGCATAGCCAGTTCGCCAGAGGTTTGCAGGAACGCTTGTATGCTGCAGGGGTTAGGTTTGTAGACATGCTATGAAACCACCTCTTGCAGTTATCACACTGCATTGGTTCTGCAACTTGAAATTGGCAGATATATCTCCTGCTGCGGTTCTTTTTGATGGACATGCTTTCTAGAGTGAATTGGGACAAAAAGATTCAAATATGAGCTTATATATGACCTTTATAAATCAGTGATAAAACCCAATGAGTAAAAAAGTGGATATACATAGCTACTAAGTTATAAGAACACAACTTCCTGTGATTAAATAGACTCAAAACTGAAAAGTAAACTAACTTCAATCAGAATAAACTGATTTAAAGTTAATCCATAGACTTTGGAGCGTATAACACAACAAAAGCCGAAATTAAGCAAAAGCATGTAAAATTCACTTCCTTTTCAATCTGATGGATCTTAGTTAGAATACCCAAACCTAGCAATCTGAAAAATTGGGCCACTTGGCTCCAAGACTGATGTTTCAGTGCCGCCTAAGACTAATCAAGTAACAATCTACTTCTTCAAATCGAACGGAATTTCACAAGTGGTCCAATGCTGTTAGACTGCATCGCACTCTGATCCTACAACAAAACAGCAACTGCTCGCCACCGAAATATTACTATCCACGAAAATCCGTATCTCTCTCTATTTTTCAACCCACATTCACGTATATTTCTATTTCGCCGTTTCCATTTAAGCTTGACCTTAAAATTTATTTTTCGTTACCCACTTGTGCCTATTTTAACTCTTTTTTCTTGTGTAAATATTTGAGCCGTTACAGCGGACGAACACAAGGCTTAACAGAACAAACGATATCGACGTTTACGTAAGGTACGTTGATATACAGTACGTGTATGTAACCCTTCACCCCCAATGTAGTTATTCGATATGACCACATGAATGTAGGGTAACGAAAAAAGAATGACAACTCAGTCATACAACACTGGGATTCACCTTTGGGATCAATAATGTTTGTCAACTGTGTGCGCCTAACTAAGTAAAGATCGTACACGGGCAGTTAAATATAACACAATGACGTTCTTGACTGCATACTTCAATTCATCAAGTCAACCTGACTGATGCCAGTAACATGTATATTGTTCCCTTGCGTTCTGAGTGGGACATAGGGTTTCAACAACACGTCTCCACTTTGTCATGTTTTCTGCCATCCTCTTCAACTGGGTTCACGATTGACCAAACTCTCTCAACTCTTCCTCACACGATCTCCACCATGTCACCCTTGGATGACCCACTCGTCGCTTCCCATTGGCATTCTACCAGAGGGCCTGGCGTCTGATGTAATTTGGCAGCTTCCTCAGTGTACGCCCGATTCATTTCAACTTTCTTCAATATATTTGTTGAGCGATCGGCTCCTGGTTTTTTTGTTCCCATAGTTTCTTGTTGGTTATTCTTTCTGGTCATTTGATCTTCAGTATGGAGAGAGGGCAGCTGTTGATGAAAGTTTGCAACCTGTTGGAAATCCTTTCCGTGATATGCACTGCAAGTTTCTGACCCGTATAGAAGAATCGACTTCACATTGGTGTTGAAAATTGGAACCATGTTCCTTATGCTGCCGATTTGATGCAGAAGATTTCCAAACTGGTTTCAGGTTGATGAAGGCGTATCTTGCCTTTCCGATTCTGTCTGGCTCTGACATCTTCCTCCGTTCCACCTGTAGTTGAAACGATGCTTCCTGGCCAGATAAGTGAAAGAGGCAACATCTGTTAAATCTATCCCGTTGATGGTGATTGGTGCAGATTGTTGTTGCTGCTGGTTGGTTATCTTCATCACCTCCGTCTTCTCTATGTTCACCTGCAGTCCAGTTTTCGCTGCCTCTCCAGCCAGTTTTCTGGATTTCGCTTCAAGTATTCGATGCTAGTGGTAGGCTAATAAATATTTTCCGCTGTATGGCTGCTTGCTGGAAGTGGCTGAATATGGCTCGAAAATTGATCTGAATGGGACTACTTTCTCTATTTTTTCCTGGAAATTTCTGAGAGCATCTCTTTTACAGTCTCCTTTTTGATCAACAAGTGCGACTGGTTTTGATTTCAACTGTAGCAACCACTAATTGATTTTTCTGAATGTGAGTTATTTTTACTCCTGAATACTGGCAGTAATTCTTGGATGTTTTCACCTTCTAATGATCAAGGGCGAGTCTTCGCACCCTTATTTTAGCCAAGAAACATTTGTAGCGAAGGTCACTGCAAACATTAATAATATATTCTTACATTATGTACATGAGAGACGCCAGTTTACAGGCATCATCAATATGTAAAGTAATATATATATGGAGTAAGCATATTTACAATTATTCACTTATACAAAAAAAGTTAACGGAATAATATCAGTAAGCACACTTAAGATAAGTAAAAATAATTCACATGATATAATCTTAGGCACCATTATCTTTTGAATTTGTCGAAAACGCGCTTAACAACTGAGGGTTGCGTTGTGTGTGGTCGACATGGTGGGGTGCTAACTAAAGTATAAAAATGGCTTGTAAAATGTTAGTTAGTTTACTGACGGCAGTGTTTTCAGCAATATCATCTGTAAGAAGCTCGCCACAGTAGTTAGTATCCAGTTAAACATGTTAGGAAGCATCAGTGAATCACCGTATTCAGCGACTGGTGGATTTTTTGATTCATTGCGGTCAGGAACCAGAATGACTGAGAACTGATCCGTACAAAGTGACGAATGAAGCTTTCAGGAGCAGAATGCTACCATCAAATGAGTCAGTGGGATTCGAAATGCAACTGTCAACATATTTTCGTTACTTCTTAGATATTCAGGTTTATCGATGCTGTATAAGTAGTGATTTGGATTTGTCATCATCATTAACATGTAGGTGAATATCCGGACGTGTACTACTAGTTGTTCACCATGAGGATCTAGTTAATTCCATTCTGTGTGAGGTTTGATTATTCTCCAACTTTGATACATTCCGCCGTGATCGTGGCAAGTATTACTTTGTTGACTCCTACCTCCGCTGAGTATATACAATGGAAATTGTGGATTAATATGATTCCTCGCCACTGTGGATGGACTGCTGCTGCATTCTTTTTCCAGAAAGTAGACTAGTTGTTGAAGTATAAATTTTGTCCAAAAATATCATCTTTCTATGTGATATTGTGGTATGTTTCGACCTTGTTTTTTCATATTTCATCCACATGTCTGTTATGTTTCACTCATTATATAAGCTAGATATTATACCGACGACTCTTTTTTATTTGAGGGTTTTTGTCATGACTGATACTTCCTTATCTGAAACTATAAACAGAGGCAAAACAAACGCCAGATGTAGTCCCTAAGCTCAAACATTAAATAGGCTCATGTATTCTAAAGCTTTTGTATGGGAATTAGCACTTGTATCGCCTGCAAATTCTCTTACTGTTTCATTAAGTACCTTTGCAAAGGAGGTCAGTGTGCTTGTTACCCTTATATCCTTAGGTAGTTTGTTCCATTTCTGGGCATATCTGATCAAGTGAAACTTTTGTCTGGTGGCTGTTTTATATTGTTCTATAGCCACTGTATCTTCAGTGCGTCTTTCGTCTGAAACCCCAGTACCGTACACTATGTGGTTTAGAAGCTCGTGGAATAGTGTCAAGTTTATTTGCAGTCGATTGGCTGTAGTGTTTTGAGTCTCAGGATTTCACATTTGGTGGAGTAGTTTGTGCCGTTTCCGGTTCCGAATATTTTTGGTATGAGGTACCTCTGTACTCCTTCAACATTTTTTGTCTTCTCTGCGTATATTTCCGAATGTCTACGCTACTGTGGCAACATTTTATATATTAAATTCAATGTCACATAACCGCTGTTTATTTTCTCATGTTATGTAGGGAATTCGGAACGCGTGGGCTCTGGTGGAATTGGAAAATCAGTGGCTGAGTTATTCAGTTATAATCCGGTGATCATCATATATTAAACCCTCATGTAGCAAGTGGCGAACACTATGGTATTTACTATTTTTAGTCGTTTTTGCAAAATCTTGCAGTGTTCCTGAGTTTTAGAGGTGCCCATGATGGCCTTATTTTTCCTGAGTTTTGCCTTCAGTTTATGTCTCTCCTCAATTTGTTAATGCCTCGTGGTTTAATGCATTAAATTTTTTAAATATATAGAATTTCCCTTTCAGTTCCCTTAGTTTTAATCGCGTTTTGCAGTCCTTAAATGGAGTTAGTGTCTTTAGGAGAGCTTTCAGGGGCGCGACTGTGGCTCTTACCGAACCGATCATCTCGTGGAAGATACTAAATGTTACTTCTAAGTTATTATTGGTAAAGTATTCATCCCATTCAGAGCTTCTCGAGAGCGCTGGTAGGAATTCCCAGTGGGCATTTATATAGTCCCTATATTGCCAATAAACTGGGGAAATTTTAGGTGTTCAGCTTTTATCTGAAGACGTAGAGAGCAACACAGTATGTTGTGATCAGTGTTATCGGATTTATCCCCCAACTCTATCGACATCGGCTGTATTTCGTGGCAGAGGATTAAGTCGAGAATATTGTTATGCACTGTTAGGAGGCGTACGCACGGCCGCCATCCTCCTGCCTCTATAGCTTCTAGGAGCTCTTCGTGGCTTCTGGGTCCAGTGCAGGTATCCCAGTTCACTCGAGGTTGGTTGAAATCGCCACAAACTAGTTTGTAGTCGGATTCCAGCGTAGGT